ATTAATTAATTTCTATAACTTTTTATTTGCACACAGCTGAGGAGAAGGTGAAGGACAAATTGGCGAAAATTGCGCGTGAAAAACTAGGTGGCCCCATATCCAAGGAAAAGCAATTGCAGTTGGAGCGAAAACGAAAAGCAATGGCTTTTCTAAATCAAATTAAAGGTAAAGCGTTGCTACCAACTGGTTTATCTAGCAGTTTAAACTCCTACTCAACCAAAATCGATCCCGACATACCACATCTATGTGCTGTTTACAACGACCCTAAACACCTTTTTGCATGCCATATGAAACCAACCCTTCTAACACACTTTTCCCTATGCTCCGACCCCATCGAAACAGCACCCTAGCCCGGTCACATCGGAACGGGATCAAGTTGGATCTCCATTGACGTTCTAGCTCTGGACCAATAGACCTTGCGTGCACTCAGCAGACGCTGGCCAACTGTGGATCGCAAGAGGTCGGGGAAACTTTTCGCCTTGAGCAAAGTTCATCCTCCCACTATGACAGAAGTTCTCACTGGACACTGTCCAATGGGTACTCATGCGGTACGGCTTAGAATACTAGCCGATGCTAGTTGTCAAAGTTGTATGGAGGAGGGAGAAGTAGAAACATCTCGGCACTTTCATATCCACTGTCCGGCTTTTGCTAGGCTGAGACTGAAACATCTCGGCAATCAAGCTTTCGGCGTACCAGAACTTAACCCAAACCGATATTGGTCGTCTCAACAAGTTTTTTTATAGGCACAAAGCGCTTTATCGACATGTCAGGGTTTTTTGAATCGGGCTATAGCAGTTTTTTAGGTACCACAACGGATCGGCGTTTAAGCTGTCCAAGTGTGATCCTTCCTAAGATCGACCTCTTAACCTAACCTAACTCGTTATTAGACCCCGCTGTCGTGTGAACTTAAAGTCACAGTCTTACCTTGCAGTCTCTGAGGCTCTCACTGGTTAGTTTATGTCCGAACATCTGCAAAATAGCGGTTTTGTGCCGCTACATTGCTTATGTGAAAAAATACGTAAAAAAATGTAGAAGCAATATAGTTCTGAAGAAGCTAATAAATCTGGTATGATCCAAAAAATATGGCGATCAAAATCTCATGAGCTTGCAACTTTCTTATCAATCGCAAAACACATAATACCGTTTTTGCAAAATAATTTATATGCGCATTATATTTGCATTATTTGCATATTTCAAAAATATATTTCACTGTTATCAGCAGCGAGCCCTCTCCTCCTGCCTACATGTGGCACATTATACTGGCCTACCCACTGCCTGCTAATGATAGTACTTGTAAGTGCGCTCTTCAAATGTGTATGTTTGTATAGCTTCGGCTCATTAAAGCTTTCTAGCTAGCAAATAATTTAACAGTTAGAAGTTTTGTAGGTATATCTTTTGTGAAGCCACTTGGTTTAATTATGTTTTTTGTACTCATTAGAAGTCTTCGTGTGTTAGAACCAAAAAGATGATAAGACTAAAGAAGCGTAGTAAAAATAAACTTAGAAAAAGTTGGCATTCGAAAAGATTGGATCGTACCTTTTGTGGGAAATTTAAACGTTGGGGTTCTAAACTACCTATTTGAGCGATTCGTAGCTGGCTGTCGATCCGTATGGCTAATTTACGTAATGTGTGCGAATGTGGATTGCCCTTAAGTTTAAGCGTTAATCTTGGTTTTTGCGGTTTTCTTATGATTAAACGTTTTCCATTCGATTTAGCGCCATCTTGCGGCGTTACGATTTACCGCTTCGCCTCATTTCTACCTTTAGTAGTAACACAAATATGTAATTAACGATTTAAAATTCAGTAGTTGAGGCACAGTTCCTAGACACCTTTCGAAATTCCCTTCATGCTGACACTATTTCAATAATTCTCAATCGCCCAATATACATAGGTGCGCCCTCTACTGCCGACTCTGCCAAGAGTTCGCCAAGCGAAGCGGACAATGCCAACGCGATTGCCGAAGAAAATGCCACTGACTCTGAGGAATCTGTACATTCCATACCGATAACTTCGTATGGTCCCGAGGACGATGGCAAATCCGATGAGGAGGCGAAATTGCATTTGATTGAGATACCCACAACACATATTGCCGGTGCCATGACCAAAACTGCGCCAAGCAATGCAGCCAAAAGTGCCAAAGAAGCCAACAAATCTAAACCTACCGCCACAGTGACTGTATCCGATGATGACGATGTACAGCTGGTGGGGGAAATCAAGCCCATCTCACGACTCGCGTTACCTAAGCAACGCTCAGAACGTAAACGGCAACTGCGCTCGCGCGCACGTGATAGCTCACCGGACGAGCCGCCAGCAAGCAGCGCAAAGCATGCAAGGAAGCAGCGGCGCCGCAGTCGCTCGTACAGTCCATCGACGGAGCGCGACGAAGATGACAGCGACAGCTCCACTGACTCCACGTCGAGTACGTCGTCTACGTCAACCGCATCCGCCTCAGCGAACACTTATTTGAGCGATGACAGCGCGTATGCAGCTGCTAACACTGAGCGCTCACGGTCGCAACGCAGGCACAAGTCCAGCGCGAAGACGGCGAAAAAATCCAAAAGTCGAAAGTCATCCAAATCACGAAAATCTGCGAGCCGCAAAAAGAAATCGAAGAAACGCGCTCACAGCCGCGACAGCAGAAATATGGCTGACGAGTACAAAGACTATAAGGAGCGCGCCCGACGACATGAACGCCAGCACAAGAGCCAACGCGCGCAAGAGCGCGACGATGCATATGAGCGTGAACGCCAATCTAGCAAAAGACAAAGTCGTAGTCAACGCAGCGCTTCGGTGGAGGCGCGTAGGAAACGCGATTGTGAGTGGGAACGTGAGCGCGAACGTGAACACCGCGAACGCCGCGCACAACGTGATGGCAAGCAGCGCGAACGTGAACCTGACCGCTCCAAAACGCCCACACACCGGCATTACGACACATCCACGCGCAAAGACAGTAGGAAGAAGAAGCATGAACGCTAACGCACCGCCAATGGCCGAACACCGACGCCACATAAGATTAGGCAAGCGAGCAGCATCAGCAGTGATAACAGCCGCGTTATGGGGGATTTTGTCGCGCCGCTAAGCGATAAGGCAGCAAACAAGGGGTGCGCGCTGCGCTGCCTTACGCTGTGACGCGGACAACGATATGTGTACGCGGCGCGGCATGCGACTCAAGCCTATCACAAATGCATTTTATTTTGAATTTCTCTTTCATATTAGCTATGTAAGCCGAATGTGACACGTGTTGCATATCGTTGTTAGTGTAATTGTTTGTTAATGCTACAATTTGTATTTGGAAATAAAGCGTATTATGTATATACATGCACTTGTGTGTTCTTATCGTCACTGCATAATGGGTAGCTTCTCAAGAATTTGTCAAGGCGATGAGGAAGTAATTTTTTTTGTCGGCGTTTATTTGCAGAAATATTTAAATATTATTAATATTGTTTTTTCTTTGCGATAATATTTCATTCACGATATGTAAAACGTGATTCTGGCTTATGAATTTGTGGTGAAATTTAAATACAGTATGCATAATTATATGTGCATAAATTTATTATTATATGGAAATGAAGATTAAAATATTTGAGAAAAATATATACGAAATTTTTTTTAAATAAACACTTTTCAAAATTAGAAATAAAATATCTAAAATAATTAAAAAGGTAAAAAAATAAAAAAAAAAATTTTTTAAAAATATTTTAAAAAAAATTTAAAAAATATGAAAAAAAGAAATTTAAAAAAATATTAAAAAAAGAAATTAAAAAAAAAAAAATTTAAAAAAATATTAAAAAAATAAATTTGAAAAAATATTAAAAAAAAATAAATTTAAAAAAATAATTTAAAAATTTTAAAAGTTACTGAATACAATACAAAACATGCAAATTAATATATTTATAATTGTATATGTATATTTTTCGTTTTTTATACTCTTGTAACATGTTGCTACAGAGTATTTTAATGGAATTGAGAGAGCGTGTTTTTTAAAATAACATCTCTGTATGTATGTATCTCTGTGCCTAAAATGAATCTCTGTGCTTAAAATCAGGCGAAAACTTACCTTAACCTCTATACAACTGAAATTCAGGAGATTGAAATTTTGGATTTATTTTTTAAATTAGCTTTTTAGTTTTTTTTTTAATTTTTTTTTTTATTTTTTTTTCGTTTTTATAAATTTTTTTATTTATTTTAATTTTTTTTTAATACTTTTTAGTTTTGTTTATTTATTTTTTAAATTTTTAAAAATTTCAAATTAAATCTTTTTTAATTTTAATTTATTTAAATATTTTTTGGCTTTTTAAACTTTTGTTTTGTTTTTCTAGCTTTATTTATTTATTTTTAATTAATTTATTTATTTTCTTTTACTATACTTTTTTTATTTATTTTTTATTTCTATTTTTTAATTAAAAAATTTGTTAAATACAATTTCTTTTTAATTTTTTATTCTAATATAATATTATTTTAATTTTTGTTCTAAATATTTAAAAAAAAATTTAATTAAACTTTTTTTTAATATTTATTTGTTTTTAATATTTTTTGGGTATTAATTTTTTAAATTTTGTTTTAAGTTTTGTTTTAATTTCATTTTTTTTATATTTTTAATTTTTTTTTTCTATATTTATATTGATTAATTAATTCAAATCCTTTTTAAATACTTTTTCGTTTTATTTATTTATTAAATATTAAACATTTTTTAAATAGAATATTTTTTAATTTTAATATGTTTTTTTAAATTTTTTGGATTTTTGTTTTGTTTTTTACTTTTTTTATTGTATTTATTTAAAATTTTTTTTTTTCTTTCTACATTTTTTTTTTAAATTTGTTTTGTAATTTTAAATTTACTTTTTTTAATTTGTTTTGTAATTTAAATTTTTTTTGTAATTTTAAAATTTTTTTTAAAATTTTTTTGTTTTAATTTTTAAACTTTTTTTTTAAATTTTTTGTTTAAATTTTTTTAAATTTATTTTCTATATTATTTAAACCAAAACTAAAAACGCCAAGAATTTGATGTAATAATTAAACATATTTATTATATTCTTGTTTGTGATAAAAACGTTCCCTTGTATAAAAAAATGTATAAGTCCATTAACAGTTTTGGTATTTGACATATAAACTAATTAAGTTCAAAATTATAAAGTAGTCTAATTAAGTAGGATGGTATATGCATGTATGTACAATATGTGTTTATTGTAGTTAGGCCTCCAGATCAACTCGAGGTATAGGTATAATTATGTTGTCACTGAGAAGCTCAAGTCGCTGCCGACGCCATTGACTTAGAACTCCAAGACACCAGGCAAGTATTTGTCAATCAACGATTGGTAGTAAGGCCACAAAGCGTCAATGTCGGGCAACTTCCCGCTCTTGGTGTACAAGTCGTAGCGGCTGTAGTAAGCAAAAGAGCGCAGATATGAAGAGAGTGGTAATGTTAACACAATTATTTCAACTATAATTTTTTATATAGAACTCTTGTAGTTCTCTCGGCTACTCACTTGAAGATCAGCACCCATTTTTTGGTATCCTCATCGCCTGGTGCCTCCAAATGTTTGTAGTCGCCACCATTGTGCCATGGATAGAACGAGTGGAAGCGTATAATGTTGCATGCCACATGTGGCAATTTAGTTTTGTTATGCTTCAACACACGAAACATGTATTCGTCGTGTCCCCAGGACAACAACAAATTGTCAACACCACAATTTGGCGCATAAATGCCATATTTAGTGTTGTATTTGGGATTCTCGCCATCGACATTACCTTCAAAGCTATTGGCGCGGTAGACAATATGTTTACCCCATTCACAGCCCACCGGAAAAGTGTCACCCACAACAGCCCATTGTGGCTCATCGTAGAAAGCCATTACTTTGCCGAGATCGTGTATGAGCGCGGTCAGATGTAGCCAGTCGTGCTCGGGATATTCCTCGCGTGCGCGTTCGGCTGCCTGGAAGGCGTGTACAATGTTCGGCAAATCAATATCGGGGTCAGATTCGTCAACCAGATCGTTGAGCTTCTCAAGTGCTTCGCGCACAGTCGCCTGGAAGGTGTTGAATTTCAGCCAGCGCTCATGGCGACCTGCAGAGTAAGAGCGTGAGAGAGAAATAGTGGGAGCGTGAGTGTGTGGTGTTTGAATAAGTGCAAATGTGGAAACTCAAAGTAATGCTAAACAAATTTTGCTTTTTAATTAAAATTTAATCATTTATTTCATATATTTTGACATTTTATTTAAAATAATTATTTAAAAAAAGATTAAAATTAAAAAAAAAATCAATTAATGGTGATTGATATTTTATTCAAAAAAATTATTGAAAAAAACAATAAATTTATTTTTAAAAAATTTTAATCAACTCAAAGTAATGATAAACAAATTTTACTTCTTAATTAAAATTTAAGCATTAATTTCATATATTTTGACATATTATTTAAAATAATAATTTAAAAAAAAGATTAAAATTAAAAAAAAAAATTAATTTTTTTTAATATTAATTTTTCTAATATAATTAAAAAAAAATTTTTTTTTTATTTTATTAATTTTTTTTTAGTTTTATTAATTTTTTCTAATCTTATTAATTTTTTTTTAATTTTAGGTTTTTATTATTTGATTTTTAATTTAATTTTTTTCATGTTTTATTTAAAAAAAAAATTTTTATTAAATATTTTTGTTATATTATTATTTTTTTTTTATTATATTATTTTTCGTGTTATATTATTTTTTGCTGCCCGCCTACCTTTAACAAAGTCCACTGTTTGATTGAGATGCATTTCACGATAGGTTCTGCGTACACGCTCCTTCAAAGGATCTTCTTCATTAATGCTGTAATCACGGAACTTCGATAGACATTTGTCAGCAAAAGCAGGTTCGGGGCGCAAGAGCTCCGAAGGATCGATGAGTTCAATTTGCTACAAGAAAAATTTAAGGTGGAGCCAATTTTTGAAATAAAAAAATTTCTTTTAGAAAGGGAATGAACACATATTTTGACAACAAATAAAAAAAATTTCACTAAAAAAATATTTTTAAATATCGGCTTTAGAACCGCTTATATATTTTTATGTAAAAAAATTTTCAAAAGTTTTTTGTAGAAAATATCCTTAATTAATTTTGCATGGATTAATGGACAACATTTTTTCCTAAATTTATTTCACTTTCTAAAAATGGTTTCCATTTTTTTTTTAAATAATTGCACAAATCTCTTTTTGTCTTTACCTTATCCAACAACAGACGCATTTTTAAGGATAATCACTTATTACGTATCACAAAAAAATTTTATATTATCAATTTTTTTTTCACTTAAGAGAAGTCCTTTCAGTTTTTATTATTTTAATTATTAATATTCTTTATTTTCACGTACGATCGCTTACGATCCGTACTTTCCAAGTTCTAAGTCACTTTTGAGTTGCTGAGCGCAACGCGGCGCAATTTTTATAGGTGCGCGAAGGTATGACGAAGTAGTTTAGCAAATGCCGATCGGCCGCACGATCGGTTGGCAGGCGGCAATAAACCGATTACCGCACAGGCAGTACTGCCCCATGGAGGCGAGCAATGGTCATATAAAACAACAATAAAAAAATATTTAAAAAAATTGCAAAAAAAAATTAAAATATGAGATAAAGCAATTACTCGTATTACGCGTGCTACTGCATACTCGTCAGCGCGGCATTTCTAATCTCAATTTTATGTTCTGACGGCTTTTGATATTCAATTTGCGCTTTTGTTTCATTAAATACACTTATTACTTATTTTTTTGAAGTTCCGTTGTTTAATGCTTAATGCCATGCATTCGATCACAAATGCATATGCACATTTGTACATGTAAATCTGATAAGGTGCTAGTAAATTTTCATTAAGCTTTATAGTTATTATACTTATTAGTTTTTATTAGTTCTACGTTTGATATATTAACATTTTTTGTATTATTTCTCTACGCTTTTTAATTATTATTAATTTGTTATTTTTTAAATAAATATTGTAATTAATTTTTGATATTTTTTAATAATAACAACTATTTTATTTTTTATATATTTATTTTACATATTTTATTATTATTAATTTTTTAATATTTTTTATTATTTTTTAAATTTTTTTATATATTTTTTTAAAAAAAAAAAAAGATTTTTATTTATAGTTTCTTTTATTTTTTTATTTATATTTTTTGTTAGTTTTTATATTAATATAAATTTATGTTTTTAATAACAATTATTATTATTTTTATTTTAGTTTTAATTTCTATTTTAAAATTTTTTTATTTATTATTTTGTTTTATAATTTATTTATTAATAATTTTTTTAATATTTTTTTTTTAGTTTATATTTTTTTTATTATTTTTTTTAATAATATTTTCGTTAATAATAATTATCATTATTTTTTTAAATTTAAATTTTTTTATATTTTAATTGTTGAAATATTTTTTTAATTTAATTATATTTTTATTGTAGTTTTTTTTATTTTTTGTTTCTTTTATTTTTTATTAATTTTTAATATATTTTGGTGTAATTTTTTATTTTTATTTTTTTAAGGTTTTTTATTTTGTAATATTTGGTTTTATTTTTTTTAAGTTTTTTAAGTATAATATATATTTTAATTTTTAATTTTTATTTTTTTAAGGTTTTTTATTTTGTAATTTTTAGTTTTATTTTTTTTAATTTTTTTACATATAATATGTATTTTTTATTACAATTTTTTTTCTATTTTATTTATGTTTTTTAATTTAATTATTTATTTTTTTTTTAATTCATTCTTTTTTGTTTTTTATTTATTTATAATTTTTTAAGTTTATATTTTTAATTATTAGTTTGTTTCTCTTATTTTTTTATTTGTATTTTTGTTAATAATAATTAATATATTTTTTTTTAGTTATTTGTGTTTCATAATTTTTTTTTTATTTTGGGATTCTTTTATTTTTTATTTATAATTTTTTTGGTTAATTTTTTAATTAAAAAAAAAATTGTTTTTTTTTTGGTAAATTTTGTAATTTTGTATCGGTTTTAGCTATATTATTTTTCAAATTCATTATCACTGTAACGATCTTTTGCCAAGCGTTGTGGCGCAGCTACGCTTTTCGAGTGACGTTTGACTTTTTGTTGACGTGATTTAATCAAATAAAATGCTCCATGTGAGCTTTGGTTAAAATTACGCTATTTTTAGACATACATGTACCAAACATGTACACATACATATAGTAAACAAAAATACAAAAATATAGCAACTAAATTCATAAAACAATAAAGTGTTATTAAAATCATTAGTACTCAAAGATATTGTCAAAATAAATTATTTAATCAGTAATAAATATTATAATCTATTAGTTGATAATGCGGTGCAGTGCACCTCTATAAAAAATATTAAAAATATACTCCTCCACACGCATATGTATATGTATATATATACATATGTATGTGCATATGTTTGTAGTATGTCAGCAGCTATATCAATTAATTTGTTAATAATTTTCCATTAAGATAACTCACACTACTTTAAATACTAATTACATACATATTTGTGTGTATGTACATACATACATATGTATTACAGCACGCGATACCTTATTGACAAGCTTAGTATTGTTTACACTACAAACGACAAGCTAGCAAGCTAATCAATATTTTTATTTGTGCTAGTAACAATATATAAAAAATAAAAAATATTATAAACAGTTGCGAGTATTTTCCAATGATATGATAATCTACGCTAATCAGGAAGTTTTGATAAGTTTGTCACTAAACTACTGTAGTTTAAAGTTGAGAATACATAACTATATACGTACCTTACAGACATACAGCCTGTCAATGTCCTGAAATAAACGCCAATGTGCGTATAATAATTCTTAAACGATTTAAATTGAAATTTTATATACTATACGCGCGTACTGTCTACTCATACCAGCTTCTAAGTTGCATTGCCGCCACTGTTATGCTACAGAATTTCATTTTTGCTCCTCCACAGCTTACATATATTTCTATTATTAACGTTGTTGCATTATTACTGCAACATAATGTCAAAGCATCCGGCGTTTGACCTTGACTTTTCGCTGCGAAGTTGTAACAGACTGAAAAATAAGGAGCAATTAGTGATAGGCGTATATATGTATGTATTTGTAAGGCAATAAATTACATTGACGTGATAACGGTAAGGGAAAGTGTTACAATAGCACCAAGCTTTCTTTTAAAGTACTAAATGCACCATACTAAAGCTGTAGAACTACATAAGTATATAATGAAAATGTCACGGCAAAACAACTTAAACTTAATTAGCTACCAGCATACATTCACCTAACATCTTGCTTAATAAATTCGCTTCCCCAACCCTTCCACAAGTCACTTTCTTACTTGTTCATTCATCTCCGAAGCGCCGCCGCAATTTTCGCCACAATCCAGTTTCTCTTGACCCCAGACGTGCCCCTGACACTGTGTTTGTGACTCTTTCTCCAATATTGTATTATTAATTGTTTCCATTTTGATTACTACATATTGTGCACGCTATTTTTATCGCACAGCTGACCAATTGTAGAATTTCACTTAAATTTCCTTTTTGCACAATTCAATTGAAGGAACACTTAAGTTATCACACACACGTGTCGTAATTGAATGCAAGAGCGCTTTAACTGCATACCCTTCAAACACACAATACTTTCAAGCATTTATGTAGATGTTTAGTTTAACAAAAACAACAAAGCATACTTTTTATTTACGTATTTAACGCTCTAAAACGAATAAATGTAAATAGGAAGCAGTGAATTGCAACTGATGACAATTATTACGCCACAGCACAAATGTAAACAAACCGCTGTTGTTACGCTTGCTTGTGTGCACGTACATACATGTGTGCGCGTGTAAAACGGAAGAGCAGAAGTCATTTATCGCTACTTCCACTATGATTTGAAATGTGAGCGGAAGGGAAACTTTACAGAAAACGATGTTTATTGGCAACACTGTCTGTCAACTCGTTGCTTATTGCACCTTCGCTAGGTAACAGTTAATCGTTTGACATCGCTTGATTGCAGCAGCATCTTGAATACGTTTGGTAAAAAGTGCGTTTTTATTAAGTATACAGGTTGGTTGAAGTGTTTCAGCGCACGCAATGAAAAAATATTGTTTTTGGTACGAAATATATATTTTTTATTCAATATAATCTCCCTTAACTTCAGTATAAGCCCTTAACTACAGCGCATTAGAACAAATAAAGAAAGATACTATAACAGCATGGCAACAAAGATGGGAGAATGAGAGTCACGGCAGTTGTACGGCCAGACTTATAAGAGATGTAAACTTATAGACAAGCCGAAAATTTGGTGAAGTCGATTTCAACACGAGATAGCTGCTATCCGGTCACGGATACTGGGGGATCATCCAGAAATGCGCAGCAATTTTGCTACGCAGCAAAAAGCGAGACCTGAACGCAGGTGCGCAGATAAATATTTCTCAATGAGAAAAATGGAACGTCACCCTGAAGTATTGCAAACGTGGTTCCAGGGTGGGCGACGGTGTCCACCTATAATCTTTGCTTCCCACATGATTTATAGCCAATAAAAAAATTGTTTTCAGCAACGCAATCTATTTTTTACATAAATAATTTCATAATTTTCTTATCACATGCCAAGAAAATGACAAATAATTAAAATCTCATAACAATTAAATATACATAGAAATTATTGATTTATGCTTGATTATACAAAAGTTCTGGGGTCATCTCAGTCACTATTGAGTTAAAATTATGAAGCTATCAGTGAGTGATAACAATTTGGCAACGCAGACTGGCCTTTGGCTAGACAGCATGTGCGAGCCTGCACGCGAGCTGATTCTTCTTGGCGTTATTTTGCCAGCGTGAACTTTGCAGATTTGATTCATTTCTTTTACGCGAGATCTATGATATATGGCTTCACAGTCAATGTCTGTCTAGGTTAATTCGTTACGTGAGCGATTAGACAGTACAGGAGTCGTTTGAGGTTGGAATTTGTTCGCTAATATAATGGTTGTCAGATAAGTTTGATTTAGTGTTATGTTTTGGTAACCAATTGTTGCTTTGAAACGCAACTGAGTTAAATTCATTTAATTTTATAATTAATTTTTTTGTCGAATTTTTTATGGTTCTTTTCATTTTTTTATTATTTTTTACGCAGTTTTGACATGTTATCACTTTTAAATTTGATTAAAAATACAGTTTAATTATTTTTAATTATTTAATATTTATTAAAATAAATGCAAATCGCACTTAACCAATACACAATTGAGTTTTTTTAGTTCAAAATCTATACAGACAAAATAATACTTACATAAAAATAATGCAAAAGATACGGCAAGTTTACGGTTTAACGTATGATAGTCATAAAAACAGCTTAAATTTAAGAAATACTTATTCCAATCTTACAACTGTACAAATTCTATTAAAGTACGCTTCTAATTTTTTATAAACATTTAAAGTGTTTTTATTATTTTATTAACAAATTGAAAACATTAATTGTAATAATATCTTTTTTTTTGTTTAGAAATACTCTTTATATAATTATTGCCTATTTGTCTATTTTAAAATTCCTTCACTCATGGAGGTTATGATTCCAAGTTAATTCAATATTGTTTATTAAATATGGATATGCATAATTACTTAATTATTGTGGAAAGTAAATTTCGTTTATAACGGTTTAAAAATGAAGCTTTAAATTGCTGACAAGCTTGCATAAGCTTTGTTTGGTTGTCTTGCGGCATGACAATAATCCGCGCCGTTATATATTGTCTTATTTTATTTCCAGCTCAATTCCTGTTAATATCTTATTGCTTTATATGTAAAATTATTTCTTACACTTACAAATTACTTTAGTCTCAATATTATCATTAAACTGTTCGTATGTTAGAACTTCGTCGTGAATAAATACAA